GTAGCTTAGAGTAGGCTAATTTGCTCCATTTCAGTAGCAACTGAAATGCCAAGCCGTCGTCCTTGCGACCCCGAGCAAGCACATAAAGAAAATGCTCTGGTAAAACAAAAGGTGCACGCTCCCGATTGAAGCCGAACTTCTTCTTCCGATTGTTTAGAATGTGGCCAAAGTCGATGTGGAAGAGTCGACCAGTTGTGTCAACCATGATGTTGTCCGGATGTCTGTCTCTAATACCTAGTACAAAGGTGACCACGCAGTAGCCGGCACAGGAGCGCGCAAATATCTGGATGGCACGCTCATAAGAGTCCGGAAAAAGCGAGAGTGGAGGAGGCTCCGGTGAAATTCCAAATAACTGGCAATCTGTTAAAAAAGACGTAAATGAGAAGTAGAGTATGGCAGGAAGCAGAATCTAGTAAAACAAGACTAATAACATAATTATGAAGCTCAATACAGAGTAGCTGCTTATTCTTCATCGCATCGCTTACATGCTATATTATACCTATTTTATATCAATTTACATTATTTATACGCTAAATGTATATTCTCCACAATGATGTTTAGGATGCTCCAGTCGGAAGCGTAAGTAGCGCAGCAAAAAGTTAAGGAAAGACACGAAAAAAATAAGCTAATTTGGAGCTCTAAAAGCATCAGCTAAACTCACTTGTCATCTCTGCCATAGTTGATTGGGGAAGGCTAAGTGATGCACTGCCGGTAGACTGATTAAAAGAGGCAAAACTTGTGCCAATTAGTGTGGATGGTGGCACGGATAACGACATGAGTGATGAGCTGGTAACCGCATTCGAAGAAGGGTTTTTGGTCTGCAACCATTTGTGAAGCTGAGTTGGATCAATCTGATACCGACCAGCCAGGGTGTTATTCTGAATTGTCATGACGGTTTCAGCGTCACGTACTGGTTCGATAATACCTGTGTTGTTGCCAGTTGCTAGAACTCCATATGGCATTAAGAATAGATCCAGGCCCTCATCCTTCCAGATACGATCAATAACCTAATGCAAGAGACAGACCGAAAGGGAGGCAATATATAAAGATGCCAAGTCGAGACATACGAAGGATATGAGTTGTTCGAAAATCTACTCAAAACGAAATACGAAAGATACTCCAAATGCAGTGTGCATAGATAAAAATACTTTATTGGATTTCTGGAGGCTTGAACTTTGATAAATCATAACTCGGACTGAAAGGTTCTTACTGGGCCAGGCATACCAAAAGAGGAATGCCCTCATTAATGGCTAAGCTGGAAAAGCAAGTCAGAATTGCAACCATACATCCAAACACGACATTTTATATGCATCCAAAGTAGTGATAAAAGATGCCACTCTACACGTGGTCATGGATTTCACGAAGTTTAGGAAGAATGAATGCAATATAAATTCGGCTGTAATATGACATTTCATTTCAATTTATCTCTTTTCATCTGATCTCTTCTGAACTAAACTCATCTCGTCTTACTAGAATATAAGTGCACTTTGGCATTAATCTTGTTCTGACAAAGTCTGCCACGACAGGACAAAATGCAGCTCAAAGTGGGACTGCGAGCTGAAGATTTTTTCATACAAGCCACTGGTCACAACTCCAAGGTCGAGTTTCGGTAAGGCCAACTTATGAATCTCCTCTACCAACATTTACAAACTAAATACAAGTTAAGCAAAGATAAATCTATCAATAATACTTCAAAATCTAGCTTCTCTTAATATCATATAAATTTATCTTGATCAACACTAGGCTATAATTTTGGTAAGTCCCTATAAGTGGATTTGAGTGATTTGATGTCTAGACCCTAAGGCTGGTATTGAGGAAGAGATCATTTATGCAGTTG